CATCAGAAACTGCAACAATTGACTTAACTGGTTTACAGTGTCCTTCAAGAATTCCCAAACAAAGGTACCCTTCTTTGAATTTTTGCCAAATTCTAACAGTTTTATCAGATGAACCACTCAATAATGTACTATTTACATAATTTAAGCACAATATGACCCCTCTATGCCCAGCCAATGATCTTTTCACCACCATGAAATTAGCACTATCTTCCCTCTCCCACACAAAAATAATTTGATCTCCTCCTCCTGAGAAAAGTACAGATCCATCATTTTTCAGCGCCAATGCATTGACGCTAGAAGCGTGTTTATCTAAAATACTTAACAATTTGTGGGTTTTCTCGACTCGCTCCCAAACTTTTATGTGTCCATCAGCAGAGGCTGTGTATATTAGGCCGTTAACAGAAACAACAATTGCATTGACAGCATCAGAATGCACGTTTTTCATCGATTCTAAACAATTCATGTCTGATAATTTCCATACTTTGAAACTCTTGTCCCATGAAGCTGAGTACATTAGTCCATTATTCACAGCTAAACATGAAACCGTGTCTGAATGCTCAATCCAAAGCTTCTGCTTGTGACGTCTAACTTGAACGTAGTTTTTGGCGAGCATGCAACGGCTTAGACGATCTTTAAACGTCGGAAGTGTAGAGATCAGACGGTGCTTCTTGCTTGATGTCACTTGCCAAACCCTGATTTTACAATCTTGGTGTGCAGTGAAGATTTTCCTGTCACTGAATGCGATAAACTTGACCAAACCGGACCTGGAGCCACTGCAGCTAAAGGTGTCAATAAGTTCATAATTTGTTAAACTAAAGACACTGATTTCATTGACAGATGCTGCATAAAGACTGTTGTCATGCACTGCCAGGAAACTAATTTGTGAAGCTAGGTTTCTAAGAGAAGCAATATAGCAATGAAATACAGAGGGTTTTGGGGTTGCATTGGATTCAAGACTGCTAAAACTTGTTTCTTCAAAAAGGGTAGATTTTGACTCACTTGTGGGTATCCATAATTGGAAATCCTCCATTGTTAAACTATTTGAAAACACACACACAAACACACACAAAGAGTAAGTCAGAGAGAGAGAGAGAGAGAGAGAGTGAGTGAGTGAAGGGAGTTGCACATGAAGGCAGAAGCTAATGAAGTTGAGAATTAATAAAGGAGAAGAGTTTGGGGAATTTGCCATTTGGACAAACATTAACCGTTCTTTAATTCTACATTCTCAGTGTGGTCCAAGTGCTATTTAATTATAGGTTTGTTGCCTTTGTCAATGGGTTATGGAATTGCAATCTTTGATCCTACTTCAAATC